CCGAGTGTGTGGCATATACCTGGGGAAGTAGAGACAAAAGCTCTCCTTGAGTTTGAGGCCAGCCTGATGTACATTGTTAATTTCAAGGACAATCAGACTCCATAGTGAGACCTTGTTTCCAAAAAGAAAAGCTGTCATGGGTCCTACCTTCATGTTCTCATCTAATCCCAATCGCCTCCCAGAGACCCCACCTCCAAATACAGACATCATTATCATGAGGGTGGGGAATAAATTTTCAACAACTGAACATTTGGAGCCCATACCTAAACTACAACAGAGCCTGACCAGCATTTATTCAATCAACTGCTTTTAAATTCATGGAGACTATGACAGATAACCTTCCATAACTGACTCATCCCAAAGACATGGGTTCCTGTAAGCCTCTCCCAACCACCATCCACAGGACTAAGTACCCTCAACAGCATAGATGTGACCAATATACATTATGGAAAGAGAAATCAAGTCTCTCTCTCTCTCTCTCTCTCTCTCTCTCTCACACACACACACACACACACAGAGAGAGAGAGAGAGAGAGAGAGAGAGAGAGAGAGAGAGAGAGAGAGAGAGAGAGAGAGAGAGGGCACAAGAACATGTCTCTATAGCCCTGGGACTACACTTGGCTGAGTTTCCAGATGTCAGTGTCAGTGGGGTAAAGCATTCATGTGGGAGCTGTAACTCCCCTCTTCTCTTGCTCATGGTGATGACCAACCAGGGCCAGCTGTCCCCTGCAGGGCCACATTCCCCTCCACATCACAGCTGAGTCACAGACTATCACTCATCTATCTTCCTGTAGATTTTTTGACAGAATCACAGAGACTATGTGTACCCACTAGTCTTTTAAGGAAGTTCTATGTGTATGTGTGCTTCGCCTGCACGTATGTCCGTGTGCCATGTGCATCGGTGCACAAGGAAGACAGAAGATGTTGGATCCTCTGGAAATGGAGTTACAGATAGTTGTGAGCCAACATGTGGGTGCCGGGAACTGAACCCTGGATTCTCTTCAAGAGCAGCAAGTGCTCTTAACCACTGAGCCACGTCTCCAGCTCCATATTCACCAGTCAGTATCCAAATGTCATCTTTTGGCTTTTCAATGTTATCATGACTCCTGCTACGTAATAAGGAAACAAGGTCAGAACCTGTCATAGTAGCCCGGAGACAATAAGAGATGTAAGTTGTTTCCTGGATGCAAATTTAGAGAGAGGTAGGAAAAAACAAGCTCTAGAGATGGAGTTCCCGGGTCACTGAAAAAACTGGTCAGTGAAATCCTAAATCTCATGTGAGGCATGGCCCTTGAGAAGCAATTATGTCATGAGGGTGGAGTCCTCATGAATGGGCCAGTATCCTTATGAAAGAGTTCCTCTTTGCCCCTTGAACTACGGGAGTGAAGACAGTGAGAAGGCTTGTCTATGAACCAGAAAGTGCCCCCCACCCACCCCCACCCCACACACACGCTTAACTGCCATTGCCTTGATCTTGAACTTTTCAGCCTGCAGAACTGTAACCAGTAATGTTCTGTTGAAAAAAACTGGACAACCTAGGCCTGCAAAACTGCTCAGTGGGTAGAGGTGTGATCTCTAAAAAAGTCTGATGACGTGAGTGCAACACGAAAAATAAAAGGCCCAGGGACTGATATTGGGGTTCAAGCTTCAAGCTGAAATCAGAGAAGCAAAGCAGCCAGCCACTGGTTCTTACCTCTACCTATGCTCAGACCAAAGGACGAGCCTCAAACTGCTCTGACTTCACTGATCCTCAGGTTCTCTCAGAGTGCTATGCTCTCCTCAGTGTGGCTAGTGACTTCAATATCTTCCTATCTTCAGTGTGGCTGGAGAATGAATACTCCTCTGAGACCCTGTCCCTATCTTAAATACCTCTCATGAGTCCTGGGATTAAAGGTGTATGATTCCAAGTGCCGAGATCATCTTTGTGTGAGCTGTTTCTCTTTAGGACTGGATATATTTCTTGTAGTTCAGTGTGGCCTTGAACTAACAGAGATTCATCTACCTATGCCTCCCAAGTGGTGGAATTAAAGATGTGTACCACCACCACCTAGCTTCTATAGCTTGTGTCTGACTTTGCTTTCTGAATTCCCAGGCAAGCTTTAATAAATCATAAATAATATATTAGCATACCTGAGTTCAATCCTCAGTACCACACGTTGGAAAGAAATAATGGACTCCTGGAAGTTATTCTTTGATCTTCAAACACATGAGTGTGCACACACACACACAAACACACACACACACACTAAAATATGAATAAAACATTTAAAGCCATTATGACCTAAGGTATTTTTGCTATACAGCCCAAATGGACTGAGACATGAGGGAAAGGTCAGGAGAGATGATCACAGCTGGTCCACTGTCAAGAAGAGTTGAAGGACACTTGAATTGCACACATTTGAGGGTCTGTGGCCTGGACACTAGGTTATGCCAATCCTTTCAACAAATATTGAAGTTCAGCATGCCATGCACTGATCTAGACATAGAGGTTATAGCAGACACTCGGAGCAGTGGTCTTCTATGTCCACTGTAGTGTTTTATTAAAAACCAGTCCAAACCAGTCAGTGATAGTGCACACATTTAATCCTAGCACTGGAAGACAGAGGCAGTCAGATCTCTGCAAGTTCTAGGTCAACCTGCTCTTCAGAGCCAACTCAAGAACAGCCAGGGACACACACAGAGAAACCCTGTCTCAAAAAAACAAAACAAACAACAAATAAAAAAAGTCCAACATCCAAAGTTCTCTTTCATTCTTTACTACGTGTCATAAAGCACCATGAGGGAGTGTCCATTCATCAAACACAACTCACTTTTTAAATACTTCTTCCGCTTACCCATTAACCATTCACACATACAGCAACTCCTCCAAATCTATGCACCACTCCCACAAACTCAAATACCCAACACCCTGTCACTAGATCAACCCTCCCTTTAAAGCAGAGAATTAAATTTCAAGATAACTGAATCCCTGAGTCAAGAAGGAAGCCACTAGCAATCAGGACCCACACAGGGAGTCATCAATTACTATGCTTGAAGAGGGGGAAAGAAAGGAGGGGAGGGAGAAGAGAGAGGAGAGAGAGAGGAGGGGGAAGCAAGAGGAGAGAGAAAGGAGAGAGAGAGGAGAAAGAGAGTACACTCAATCAGCAGGCATCATGCAATGAGCCCCTCTGAAGGAAAATAACTCCAGATGGTGAGGAGGCATTTCACTATTTATTGCAAAGAGACAACAGATCCTTTATCACTGTTTATTGGCCACTCCTGACACATGAGCAACCCATGTGCTCTTCATGATTTTGATGGATGGATATTAATGTAAAAACAAAACTCGTCAAAGACTAAAGAGCTGCCTCTGTCTAAGGTTTTCAATGACGTGTGTGTGTGTGTGTGTGTGTGTGTGTGTGTGTGTGTGTGTAATTTGTTTTGCCAGGCATTTCCATATATCACAAACCAGTGAGAAACTGATGTCCACCCCTTGATTTATGGTTTATAGGAAATAAAATAACAATTATTTCCCACCTTCCTTCTCTACCATCAAGAAATGTGTGTTTGGGGCAGGGAGTGGAGCTCACTGACAGACAGCATGCCTAGAGCCTTAAGACTAAGAAAAAAATGTACTAGGTTTATTTATTTATTCATTTATTTTGACTACCTCACTGTGTCCATGAAAATGGTTACCATTTATTGGAAGTCCTTCCCACTGTGCACTGTGCTGACCCTTTTCTGAGGGCTCTCTCAGGCAGTGTCCTCAGATGCTGTAAGATCTGTTGCCATCCCACGAGAGGATGTGCAGCAGGATGCAGTGACTTACCCTTGTCTCATGGCTGTCCCAGGAGTCCCATCTCTAGCCTGAGTAGACACCCCCTCCTGGGGCTCCATGCTTTTCTACACCTCAGGAGAACAACAGGATCTCTCTTCTTTCTAGAGAAGTTTGACAACAGTTCACAGCAAAACTGTCCATATAGCAAACTCCACCAGGTGAACCCACCAGCTGGCCTCTCAGCATGGGGAAAGAGCATGACTGTTTCCAGCAGTACACCAGGGGCAATACTTTGGTTAGATGTAGGAACTTTGTAAACAGTTATGGTTAGAAAACTGAACTCAAAATTTGTTGTGGTAGGCCATACATTTAATCCCAGCACTCAGGAGACAGAGGCAGGTAGATTACAACCATGTATATTTCCAGTTCTAGGAGATCTGACAACCCCTCTACTGGTTTCCATGGGTACTGCATGCATGTGGTGCACATAACACACAAAGCATCCTTATGCATAAAATAAAAATAAATAAATCTTTTAAATATAAACAGAATCACAGAAGTAGCTTAAATAGCTAAGGCATAAGCAAACAAGTTGCTATTTTCCTCCCCTCCAGATGTATATGATTTCATGCATCTGCATCATGCATTGCATTTCCATTCCCAATGAAGAAAACTGGGGCTTATTTTTGTACAAGTTATTAGGAAGCATTTGTTTTTTTTTCTTTCTCTGTCTAACAACACCTAATGGTGAGCTATTTGTGCATCTGATATTCTCTCTCAATCCAACTGAATTAAAAATGTGACCAGCCGGGCGTTGGTGGCGCATGCCTTTAATCCCAGCACTCAGGAGTCAGAGGCAGGTGGATCTCTGTGAAAAACTTTGTCTCAAAAAACAACAACAACAAAAAAGAATGTGTGCATGTGCCTTTAAGTTACTCAAAAATTTTTTATAGGGGTAGAAATGTGAACCTAGAACACACCTAGAACTCACAGGCCCTGGACTGAATTCTAAAACCCTTGGACTTTTATGTCCATTATCTCATTCTTGACAGTAATTCAGTGAGGCAAGGATGTTCTAGGGATGCAGGAAATGAGGGGCTGTGCTGGGGCCACCAGAGGTCAGCATCCTTTCTCTCCAAAGCAGCAGATAGTGAGTCTGCAGTCTATGTGGACTGATGCAACCACTCAGCAACTCCATTCACTGGAAAGACTGCCATAGACAATATACATGTGAATGAGCACACTGGTGTTCCAATAAAACTTTATTTGTGGACACTGAAAATTGAAGTCAGATCATTTTCATGAATTCCAAATGAGACTTCGTTCTTGGTTATTTCTTTTTATTTTTAACCATTGAGAGACGTTAAAGTCACTCTCAGTTTATGACAGGACTGGCCCACTCTGAACTGCAGTTTGCCAACCCTTTGTCATGAGAACAGCGTCCTGAATTAGGAAGGGCGGTTAAAGGGCTCTGACTTAATTGGCTCTGCTTTCGTGGATGGAATCTGATGCCACCAGAAGTTGGGTCACTTTGCTGTGGTCTGATGGGACGAACACCCTCATAGTTCCGTGCACTTCACACCGAAGGGCTCTGCTTAAAATAAAAGCAAATGAGATGCCAATTAAAGAGATAGCTGTGAAAGCTGCTCAGCAGTCCGCCCAGGATGAGAACAACCCATGCTTAGCTGGCCACCGCTTCTGCAGACTGCTCTTGGCTCACTTTCAGAACTCTTGAGAAATGGTAACTGGTTACACAGAACTTGTTCCAAGCAACAGCCAGGGTGACTTTTGCTCTGTTACTTCCTGGCACTACTGGCAGTTTAACTCTTCCTCTGTCTGAGCCATGAAATCCACAAAGTAAGGGAAATAAATAGATCTTTACCTAGAATACTTTATTCCTCTCTCTCTCTCTCTCTCTCTCTCTCTCTCGTCTGTCTCTCTCCTCTACACACACATACATACACACATACACACACACACACACACACACACACACACAAAGAAAGTACTTTATTAAGTATCTTGGCCTTCTCCAGAATTTTTAACTGAATTAAGTTTCTTTCCGGGACTCATTCAAGTGAGTTTTGTTTCCCTCCATAGAAAGCTCATTTCTTCATCTTCAGGTTGGCATACACTTCTTATAACCAGCTTGACCCATCCAAAAATAGACCACAGCCATCAGGCTCAGCTTCTCAGGCAACTCCAGCAAATAGCTTTGGTGCATCATGACCACAGGAAGACAGCGGCTCTCACTTCCTTCTGTGTGCTTGAACTCTGTGTTTTCCTGGCCACTTTCTAGTCTGCTTTCCGTTACTTGAATAGGGACAAAGCACCAAGGGGTAGGAGTGGCAGAGCAGCTGACCCAGAAGTCACAGCTGAGAGAGTAAATGCAGTCACAGTCTGTACCCACAAGGGACATGCTGTGTCAGAGCGTCTGCGAGTACGTGCGTGTGTGTGTGCGTGTGCATGCGTGTCTATCTATCCATTATCAACACACCTGCGGACTTGTAGAGAAAAGAGAGGGGTAGTTAAACCCTTGTAGAAAGGAGAACAGAACCAGCCAGCCAGATGAGACAGCATCGCTCCATCTTACCCCGTGGGCAGAGAATGACACGTTCTACACTCTCTGTCTTCTTCTCTGGACTGCTTCCTTTCAGGGACTGTCTCTGTCATTGTGGTCTCTCTGTCCTAAGTCGTCAACCGGAGGAGGGGCAGGATACAGTCTCCATCTGCTGCCCTGTCCCCTCGTTTGTGCTCCTGCGTCCAATCTCCACAGCTCCAGAGCAGAACATGCCACCTGGCCAGGAGTTGCACTAGGTCAGTGAGCACCTTCTGGGCTCCCCTCCTAACCTGGAGCCTGGAGCCCAGGGAGCATGTGTCCCTGTGTTGGGGATAGCTTAATAACACATTCAAAAGGCTAGTGAAAATGAAGCAGTTTTAGTACACCATTCTGCAAACAGGGACATCACCATGGGGACAGGAGCGTGTTGATTGACACAAGACTGTGCTTTTTTAAAGTCTCCCCCGCCCTCAGCCCTGCCCTGTCTTTCAAGTCCAGAGCTTGCTCCCACCCCGCCCCCATCCCAAATGTCCCATCTTGTCGGTGTATGACACACAACCTTATTCTAATGAATAATTTGGGACTCAAGACTGCCCCCATCTCTAATTATGGACTTGATCATTAGCAGACTACCTGCAACTTTCCAACTCTCGGAGTTCTGCCATAAGCAAACACCAGGCATCAGCTAGGGGAGAGAGGGACCTAGTATCTCCTGCTCATCTGTAACTCTCCTACGATCTACACACACCTCGTATTGAAAATGAACCATAATAATCTGTGTCGTATACTTGGTCCATCACCAGATGCCAGGCCCCAGAAAAATGCCTGTCACACAGCAGTAGAAAGTGCTGAGAGAGTAAGCCTGGCTTCACACTCCTTAATGAAGATCTGGTATTAGTCCTTGAAAGGCCTGCTGCCGTGATGGGAGGTTGTACTTCACAAATTCTATTTCTATCTCCAGTGAGGCAAAAACATTAAGAACTGTGGGATCTGTGTTGGAGAAAGAAAAAAAAATGGTGCCAGGCAGTAATGGTGCACATCTTTAATCCCAGCACTTGGGAGGCAGAAGGTAGTAAATCTCCAAGTTCAAGACCAGCCTGGTCTACAGACTAAGTTCCAGGACAGTCAAGGCTACATAGAGAAACACTGTCTTGAAAAACCAATCAAGAAGAAAAAGAAGGAGGAAAAAAAAAGAAGAAAAGAAAGGAGCCCAAACCTCCTGGGGAGGAAGCAGAGCAATAGACACTGGAGTTGTTTCCTTATTTGTGCTCAGGACAGTGGAAGCACTCAGCTGGCAAGAGTATGTGGTTTTCCTAAGACCTCTCTCAGACGGGTCAGTAGAGAATGCTGCAATGACTTCTGGATTTACCAGCATGATTTCTGAGAGGACCTTCAAAAGTAGCCAGGAAAATGAAATAAGGAACAAATTGCAAAAGCCAAAAACTGGCCCACAAGGCATTTTGGTCCTCTCCAGGTTCTTTACCCCCGAAATGGGCAACATTGCCATGTTCCCCAACCTACTCTCCTAACTTGAAATGCGTGGCCTGGTACATTTGGTGTTGTTGCTCAATTTGGGCATTTCCTCCAACTGTTACTTTCAACATTTACTGAGCATATACTGTGTGACAGACAAAGGACAATATGCATTCTAAATGCCCCTGTCTGCTTGCAATAAATTGGCATAAGGCAGAAAAAATTACTTTGTAAGGTTGGGAAATCACTATAGTATGGGGGTTTAACTGGACCTTAAAGACTGAATAGAAAGCAGTGACCATAGCAAGTCTTTCTCTGTCCCACCAGCCAGCTCTCAAATAACCACACAGAGACTTATTATTAATTATGAAAGTTTAACTGATAGCTTAGGCTTATTTCTAAATAGTTCTTATGATTCAATTAATCCATTTCTATTAATTTACATGCTGACACATGGCTCATGGCTTGTTACCTCATCTCCCACATGTCATGATTCCTTCATGTCAACTCGCAACTCTACCTTTCTTCCCAGCATCCTCTGTGTTTGGAAATCCTGCCTAGTTATTGGCCACTCAGCTCTTTATTAAACCAATCAGAGTGACACATCTTCACAGAATACAAAAAGATTATTCCACAACAAGTGAGGAAGGGTGGAAGAAAGAATCTGGGAGGAGGAACTGTCTTAGGGTTCTGTTACTGTGTAGAGATGCCATGACTATGGCAACTCTTTTCTTCCCTGCTCCCCCCATGGCAGCTCTTATAAAGGCAAACATTTAATTGTGGTAGCTTACAGTTGAGAGGTTTGGACCATTATCATCATGGCAGGAAGCAAGGCCACATGCAAGCAGACAAGGTGATGGAGAAGGAGCTGAGAGTTCTTACATCTTGACTCATAGGAAACAGGAAGTGGTCTGTCTCACTGGGCATGGTTTGGGCATATATGAGACCTCAAAGCCCACCTCTGCAGTGACATACTTCCTCCAACAAGACCACACTTACTCCAACAAAGCTGCACCTCCTAATAGTGCCACTCCCTTTGGGGGGCATTTTCTTCAAACCACCACAGGGACCTTTGGACCCTTCCAGACTGGACATTCACAGCATTATCCACATTTGCTTACAGGGAACTGGTTGCTGGAGCAGATGAAGAGGGACAGGTCTTGCTGTGATGAGACCTCGCTCACAGTGTGGTGGAAAGAGAACCCAAACTAGAAGCACAAGGACACCACAACTGCTCACAGAAGAAAAGGCCATTCATGGCTGACAGGCCCATGACATTTGCAACCAGGAGGTTTGTTCATAGCAGGCACCCAACGAATTCCTACTTGTCCATTGAAAGAAAATTAACAGAACAAGGAAATTCCACAAGTCTTATCAAATGCATACACACCTTGATTATTAGGATAATAAAGATTCATTCTTTGCATTTAGCTCTGAACTAAAAAATAATGAATTCCTTATCACTGTGACATGAACAGTAAGTAGATCTTACTGATTTGAGAAACTACGTGTAGGTGTTGAATGAAAAAATAATAATAATGCAGAGTTCAGTCATGGGGGTTTCACCCAAAAGTGAAACCCTGATGAAGGACCTTGGTCAGATCACAGTATAACTGATGCTCAGTAACACATTGTAATGACTATAAATTATTAATATGATTCTGTGGGGAGCCGCCCCCCACATTCTCCGTTACAAGATGGCGCCGACACCCGTTGTCAGTTGGAGTAAACAACCTTGGTGCACATGTGCCTGCTACTTTTCCATTCCTTACTCTCTGCCTCTCCCGTGGCGTCATATGGGCTGACGAGCAGGAGCCAGTCAGGAGATGACACGTCCGAGGCGGGGACTGCTGAGCTATATAAGGGTTGGGCTTTTCGCTCCCTGGGTCTCCGCTCTGTAAGCTTATGCTCTCCCTCTCAAGACGCATTAAAGCTGTTCTGCAGAAGGATCCTAAGTGTGCCGCGTCGTTCTTGCTGGCGAGACGGTAGCGCGGGACATGATTCAATTGTTAGACTGAACTAAATCACTAGAGTGTTTTAAAATCAAAACGATCTCTTGGGTTGGAAAGGTGACTTAGCAATCAAGATCCTGCAGGTCTAAGGACTGGAGCTTGGGTCCTGACATCTACATAACAAGCCAGACATGGTTCCTAGCACACCAGTAACCAAGCACTGAATGAGGGAAGACAGGAGGATTATTGCATCTTGAAGGCTGCCAGCCTAGCTGAAAGCTAAAGCTCCAGATTCAGTGAGAGCCTCTGCCTCAAAGGAAAAAGGCAGAGAGTATCAGAAGGACTCCCTCTGGTCTCCACACCTACACACAACATACCCCATGCATACACCAGATACAAATACCGACAGACACAATAAACTTGAGTCATACAAGAATAAATTGGTTAAATATTGCAAAATATGGTAGGCATAACTTGGCTCTTGAGTTTGTGTGTACTGAATTTGGCAACTAGTCTTCCAGCTTTTTGGTTAGTTTACTAGATGTCAAGATATTAGTAAAATAAAAATACACACAAGACCTACTGTATGGTCAGGAACACTTTCTA